CAACGTGAGAGAAGCCGTCGAGAGCTTCGCAGGCTCCTCCTTGAGCTACCGGCCCGTGGCCATAGCGCTTGACACCAAGGGGCCTGAGATCCGCACCGGGATCCTCCAGGGGGTGAGGACCTGGGCAGTAAGAGATTTGGGCGGTACTGGAGGAGCGAGGGCGGTTGGAACAAAGAAAGGAAGGGCAGCGTAGAGTCAGGAGGGGGTGGTGCTAGAACGGAGGGACTAGGGATGGGTGTGGGCAGGGCCAAATCGATAAGGGATTGGGCCAATAATTTGTAATGAGGCTGAGGATTGAATAAGGTTAGGGCAGTGACCCAGAGGACGCAGAATCTGGGATAGCTGAAACCAGGTACTGGGAAGAGTCGGGTGAAGAAGAGGGACTAGGGATGAGTGTGGGCAGGGATAGGGCTGGTGACCCTTAACAGGTGACATACAAAGCTATTCTCTAGTAATCTGTGCTACAGGAAGAAAGGGTCCATAAAGAAAGAAGGGTCCGGAGCAAGATTAAGGCTGGAGACTAAGCTCTCACACATCCCACCCCTGCTCTTACTTCCCATTCCCTTCCCTAGGGCCCAGAATCAGAAGTGGAGATAGTGAAGGGTTCCAAGGTCCGCGTTACAGTGGACCCGGCATTTCGGACTCGAGGGGATGCAAGCACTGTGTGGGTGGACTATCCTAACATAGTCCGGGTAGTGCCAGAGGGGGGCCGGATCTACATCGACGACGGTCTTATCTCCTTGGTGGTTAAGCATAAAGGTGGGTGAACAGCAGTTAGCCCCTCGCCCTACTTCCAATTCAGGTCACACCCCTTTGTCCTTGGACTCTCCCTCTGAATTTCCCCTTGTCCCGCCCCAAGCATTGCTCCGCCTCCCCGAGAACATGTCCCTCCCCCCAACCCTTTCACCCGCCACTGCTGTATAGTCTCAGGGCACACCCCTTACCTTAGGCCACACCCCTTAAAAGACCACCAAATTGCACGAAATCGTGTCTTATTGGCCTCTGAATTCCACAGACCCAGAGGGCCTAGTGACTGAGGTTGAGAACGGCGGGATCCTGGGAAGCAGGAAGGGGGTGAACTTGCCTGGTGTAGAAGTGGATCTGCCGGGCTTGTCCGAGCAGGATGTTCTGGACCTGCGCTTTGGGGTGGAGCACGGTGTGGATATAATCTTCGCCTCCTTTATGCGAAAGGCCCAAGACGTGATTGCTGTACGTGAAGCCCTGGGGCCTCAGGGACGGAACATCAAGATCATCAGCAAAATCGAGAACCACGAGGGCGTTGAGAAGTGAGGCTTCCAGCCCTTGACTTTTTTTTATCCCACCCCCTGCTCCCACCTCCAGTTCCCTGATTCCTCTCCAAGTGTAAATTGAATTGAAATGAAGTGTCCCCAACCCCTGTTTTCCTGACTCTGCCCTACTCTCCTTGACTTTGCTCACTATCTCCTGGCTGTGCCCCCTCCCAGGTTTGATGAGATCCTGGAGGTGAGCGATGGCATCATGGTGGCACGGGGTGACCTGGGCATCGAGATCCCAGCTGAGAAAGTCTTCTTGGCACAGAAGATGATGATTGGACGCTGCAACTTGGCTGGCAAACCCGTTGTCTGTGCCACACAGGTCTGGGAGAGAGAAGGGGCATGTCATAGGTATTGTGGGCACCAACCTCCCCCTAAAGTCCCTTGACTCTCCTGCTGTGATATGGGAGTGGGGTATAGCTGACCTTAGCATATCACAACTACACTGAGACAGGGTCATGAGATGGGAGAACACCCCCTGGAGTGGCAAGGAATGCCTGGATTGAATAGGGTGGGAGAGAAAGCATTAACCCTTGGCCCTCATGGAAACGGTACTTCCAGATGCTGGAAAGCATGATCACCAAGGCCCGGCCAACACGAGCAGAAACAAGTGACGTGGCCAATGCTGTGCTGGATGGGGCTGACTGTATCATGCTATCTGGGGAGACAGCCAAGGGTAGTTACCCTGTCAAGGCTGTGAAGATGCAGCATGCGGTATGGGGCTGTTGGGGAATGTGGGGCATGTCTGGGATCCAGATATCCAGGGCTATCCAGGCCAGATATCAAGGCCTGACCCTGACCCCCTGGTACTTCCAGATTGCTAGGGAGGCAGAGGCTGCAGTGTATCACCGGCAGCTGTTTGAAGAACTTCGTCGGGCGGCTCCCCTAAGCCGTGACCCTACCGAGGTCACTGCCATTGGTGCTGTGGAGGCTTCATTCAAGTGCTGTGCTTCTGCTATAGTTGTGCTGACAACATCTGGCCGGTGAGAGACCAACAAGGCACCCAGGCAGAGGTGGGGAATAAACATGAGGACAGAGAGGCAGGCTGAACATCTAAAGATGTGAAGAGTACTGAATTATTGGTTTGGAAAAGATATAGCAATCCAGGGGCTTAGGGAGGGTCCCAAGTACCTAATACCAATGCTTAGTCTTTGTAAAGGGCTTTAGATTTTTCGAAGTATTTTCATATCCATTACCTTCTTTGATCCTTACAGCACTGGTTGTGAGGTAGATAGAACATTTTACAAATGGGGAAACTGAAGCCTTAAGAGATCGACACAGAGAAAGTCAGTGGCAGAGTTTGGGCTGGAAACCAGGTCTCCCGATTCACAATCCCGTGGCTTTTCCACTAAGCTACATGCTCTGTCTCCCCTAGCTCGGCACAACTCCTATCCCGGTACCGTCCTCGAGCAGCTGTCATTGCTGTCACCCGTTCTGCTCAGAGTGCACGCCAGGCCCATCTATGTCGTGGTGTTTTTCCTGTGCTCTACCAAGACCCCCCAGAACCCATCTGGACTGATGATGTTGACCGACGTGTTCAATTTGGCATTGAAAGTGGTGAGGATTCCACAGCTTTTCCCAAGTTTCTGCTTTCTTCACCCAAGACAACCCTAGTCTCTCTCCCTAGTGCCTTCTAGGCATGTTTCCATGGCAACTCTGGGATACCATCCCTCCACCTCCCCCAACTCCTCTCCTCCCAAGACCCTTTATTAGACCTCTTTTGTATACGAGAAGCCACCTAACCCAGTTGACATGAAAGCATGTGACAAACAGGCTGATTTATTTTCTTCCCTTGAATCTGGAGAAGAGCTAGTACATAATGCCATCACCTTACGTTGTTGGGGAGATTTTGTGTTATCGCAGGCACCAGGCAGATGGAACTGCACACTAACTTAGGGACCAGTTTTGTACTAGGGCAATTCGATTGAGGGGACAACTCAAGGCTATTGCTGTATAGGCAACTGCTACGTACCTGACATATAGCTATAACAGAAGTTATTCATGCTAAGAAGTTGCTAAGCATGCTTGCTTTTATATCGTAGGAGGAAGGCAAGTGCTGTTAAGAGTCCTCTAAATGTTTCTCTCCAGAGACAAAGCCCCATTCACCCCACCTTAGGTGTGGTTCTGCTCAGGAAGACAACAGTCGGGAAAAGCAGCCTTTAGCTACTGGCCTAAAAAACACTTATGACAGCTTACATAGTATTAATGTCAGTTACCTCATTCAAAGCATCTTTACCTCCCACCCCCATTCTCTATCACCAAGGCAACACAGGTGGGATTGAGAAGCTATTAAGGCAACAATGCTCCCTTCCAAATTTATCATGCTCACTGGCATCCAGTGAATCCTTATAGTACTATAGGTCCCTGGGGATTAGTGGGGGTAGGGGTGGGAAGGTTGGGGAGTGGGTAGGGGAATATGGTGTGATTGTCTCTGTCCCACATCCACTCAGTGACTGAGAATTAATTTTTATTACTCAGATTGTCCTAGGTATAGTTTCACCCCCTCCCTCTTCTCTACCCAGGGAAGCTCCGTGGTTTCCTCCGAGTTGGGGACCTTGTGATTGTAGTGACAGGCTGGCGACCTGGCTCGGGCTACACAAACATCATGAGGGTGCTAAGTGTATCCTGAGTCTCCATGTTCCCATAATCTATCCACCTGTGCCTGAACCCTCAGGACTATATTCCAATGTAGGTGACTTCCCCCACCCAATATTACACCCCTTTATATAGACCCTCCCCCAACTCTAAAAGATAATTCCTCCACTTGCCACCCACATGCTGAAACTTCATCCCTTTGGAAACCTTCTCAGAGACCACAGCCCCTTTCTAGTTGCTACGTCCTGTGCCCTGTGCCTGGGGGCACTCCTCTGTCACCAGGTTTCCTAGTTCCTTGAAACTTCTTGGAAGTGTTCAATAAAATATCCATCATCCTCAAATGTGCCTGACGATGATTGCATCCAATCCCCACCTGGCCCCTAAAATGCCCTAAGTCATTGGTCTCAGCTCAGCTGGTTAATTCCTTCTGCCGGAGTTCCTCTTACCCACTCAGTAGTGGGAATGAGAGATGATATACAGGAGAGGGCAACATGTGTTCAGGGGATCCCAGAATTCCTTAAGTAGAGAAAGTAATGACCCTTTCTCAGAAGGTTCAAATCCTGCACCCTGTAGCATTAACTCATTAGCTGCTGCCAATATTGAAAGAACAGCTGGACTCATAGAATCCCAAGGAACAGAGCTGGAACAGACCTTAAAACTGATCTAGTCCTGATTCTGAGGTTTAGAGAAAAGAGGTCATTAGCCCAAGACAACCTAAATAGTGAGTGGGAATCAGGATTTGAAACCAGCTCCTCTGGCCCCAGTTCTAGCATTGCTTTTATGACACCACAATATCTCACTCCAAGCTAGAGAAGGAAATGATATTGGGTGGCGCTGACATCTGGGCCAGTCCCAAAAGTCATCACCAACTTCCTTTCTCATCTTGCCTGCTGTCCCCCAGACAATGCTCGCCCCTCCTCTTCTTCTTCAGTGAACACCCTGTTATCATTTGCTTAAATGCCTTTCCCCTAATCTAGTGTTCATATGCTTATCCTAAAGCCCACTGCTGTACCCCATGCACACCAGGAGCCAAAAGGGACATATTTTTCTTTTTTTTTTAATATATATTCAACTATCTGTAAACAAACATTAAAAAAAACCAATAAAATAATTCCTGCGCACACACACATACACACACTAAGAATCCCAGAGCCCAGAGCTTGGCAGGGGAGCTTTATGCCAGGGTTCTGGCTCTTGTTCTTCCTAGGCTAATGTTATGGAAAGGGAAGACAAGGACAGAGGGGGAGGTTGAGGGGCTTCCTGTATCCCTGAGAAGGCAGAGGTGCTGGCTGGTCTGCCCCTCCCCTACCCTGTTCCCATCTTTCCCCCACTCCACTTGGATTCTCACCCTTTCCCCACTCTCTCACAGCATAGGAAAAAAAGACACCTAAAAGTAAAAACTGCCCCCACGCCTACCCCAGGTGGCCCTTCCATCCCCCCATGGGGATGGGGAACTGGAGTCTTAGTATTGCTGATGGAGCTAGGCAAGGGCCACAGTGCTGGCAAGAGGAGAGAAACCCTCTTTGTCTTTACCCCTCCCCCTAAGAGAGAGGGCAATACATAAATAAATCATTAATTACCTAAGGATTCAGCTGCTAGGGCTCCTAGGCTGGCACATTCATTAGGGAGGGGCTGGACATTCCCCATCCCCAGGGGCACAACTGGTTAGGAGCATAGGGAGGATGTGGCTCTTTGTTCACAAGAAGATTTTTGTACCACAAAGATAGGATAGAGGAAAGCTGGCAAGAGATACCCGTTTGGGCAACAGGTATTTGTATTCACTGAGAGGGCCGTAGACGGGTAGGTGCCTACAAATGGCAGTGATGAGAGCAGAGGCGGAATGCCCAAACAAGGGGCATGAGGCCTGTGGTTTTGGCAGTGGTGGGGGAACAGGAAGGTAGCCACACTAGGCAGTTGATGGGGTGTCTGCCCCGAAAGGGCTCATGAGTAGAGGGATGCAGGAGCTGGGAGAACAGAAGACATCTTTCTACCTGGCAGTGATGAGGATAAGAAGATCCTCATGCCTTGTTGAGTGGGGAAAAGGGCAAAGTGCCTATATCTGGGAAGGTCTATGGCCAGGGAGATGCTCTAAGCAAAGGGTATGGAGATACTTCTATGTGGCAGTGATGGAGACACGTCAGGCAGGGCTATTTCCACTTAGCAGTGAAGGGAGACATCCAATCCACAGTGTGTGATGCTTTGTTCGTGGTACCCATAGACATCAAAGCACCCACACCTTCTCTCACAATCAAGGCTAGATGTACCCAGGAGTTCTCACATGTTAGCAGGAAGTTGGGGGCCCTTGGTGGTACCCGGATCAGCGGCAGGAGGCCTGAGGGGCTGGGCGGTACCTGGGATCCTGGATGAGAGCCCCAAGGGAGGCAAGCGCTCGCCTCCTGAGCCCTTGCGCCCGGGGGAGCCCTCCCCAGCTGCTCGGTGAGGAAGTGAAGGTTGTGATGCCGAAAGTGGCCGACCCCTTGGCCCCAGCCGCCGTCCACCCCCACCAGGCGGGGGACCTAACAGGGAAACCTGTGAGCGGCCTGCCCGGGATAAGCTGGCGTGAAGAGTCCGGGCTGCTGGTGCGGGCAGGCGGGACGTTGATGCCCAAGGACCTCGAGCCAACAAAGGGGGTCCCCGAGCAGGCACCAGGGGTGAGGCCAGTGAGCCACCTGATCGACGAGCAGAGCAAGCAAGAAGAGCAGCGGGAGAGTCTGGGGAGAGGGGCAGAGGTGCCCCATGATGGGTTAGAGCAATGGCCACATTAGAGGTGACTGCAGCAGCCTGTAGCGGGGCATGGACCAGGGGTTCCCACAGCACTGGCTTCCCACTCAGGCGAGCACCAGCGCCTGGGGCCAGCCCCCTTACTCCCCGGGCCATGTCCCGGTCATGCTGTACCAGATGCTGTTCCATGATTCCACCACCACCACTTCCTGGACTGGGTTCTGAACGCTTCCGCTGAAGCAGGGAATTTTTCTTTCCTAAGGATGTCACAGATAAGGCGGTGTCAAAGGATGACAGGGTCTGAGTTGGTAAGGGGAGATCTTCAGATGTGTCTCACCCATATGGGATAAAAAGTAGGCATTTATGGGGTGGTATTGGGCACATCCTATTTAAAGTTAAGGGGGAGGGGGAAACCCTGAACAAAGTCAAAAGTAGGACAGAGAGATGGGACCTGGGCTAAGGGGTGAGCCTCCAAGCTGCAGAATGCAGTGTGGCCAGGGGTAGGATGGGAAAGATGGCACTGCAAATGTGAGCAATGGGTCATGAGCAGGGAAATAGAGGGAAGGAAAGGCCAAATGTTTGGATTTTCACTCAAGGGGAAAAAAGAAAGAAAGAGAGACAGAGAGAGAGAGAAAGAGCCTCACCATTTAGGGTGGATGAAGTAGGGACTCACCAATTCGGTGCAACCTGTCCATGGCCACTGTCTCAAAGGCTCTCCGCATCATGGGGAATTCTTCTAGTACCGCATTAAAGTGGTCCACACTGAGTGAGTAGAGGCGACAATAGGTGTCAGCCCTCACGCTAGCTGTTCTCCTGCCCCTAGTCAGTAGGCAGATTTCTGAGGGTAAAGGAGAGGGGCAGGGTATCAGCATCCCATCATCCACCTGAACTCTCATATCCACCTCTTAGCATGACCTCCCCCAGCACTGCTGCTCTCTACTGTAGGAGCAAAATCTGTGGTTTGAGAACAAGGATTGCTTTCCCTTAAGGGATACTTACTAGAATTCTCTGAGGACATGATATAAATTTTTTCACAGTTCCTTCTGGGGTCTCTCAAATGCTCTGATAATCCCCCAGCTCCTACTAATAGAAAGGTTCCTGATCTCTCTTATTTCCCTACCCTCTTCTCCCGCTGTTGCTATCTGGAAGAGAGAGCATTTCACTTGGCCCCCCAAAAAAGAGCTGTTGATGAGGCAGGGATTCCCGGGCCCCAGATATAGCCTTGTTTCCCAACTGAACTGCCAGCCTCACACTTCTCTGTTCCTCATTTGTTGTTCCTACGGGTTTATGAACCTAGGGCATGCTGTATGTGTCTATGTGTCTCTATACTCTTTTGTTCCCAGAGTACCACTAATGAGCGCACTTTTTTTCTAAGTGAAATCAGGTTCAAATGAATATCAAAGGTAAGCTTGAAAGGAAAAACCTAAGTGCCTCAGATCTTTTTTAGCACTGCCCCCAAGATATTTTTGCTCTCACCCACTGGAGCTGCCTCTTTAGGACGTAGTGCACCAACCCTCCCCCCCCCAGAAAAAAAGAAAAAGAAAAGAACATGGAACCTAGGACTGGTTCCACCTTTATCTTTAAGTTCCCTTGTTTTCCCATTATATCTTTTCCCCACTTCTATCCCAGTCCTGCTTACCCCCAAAGTAAGAGCCATCAGTGAGACGAGTGTCCCGGGCACCCCGAGTCAGCACACTGAGTAGTCCATGCTGGATGAAGTACATCTTTCTGCCCACTGAGCCCTCACGAACCACGAGGTCACCTGGTTGGAAGACCTCAAATCGAAGTTTGGTGAGCACGGCAGTAACAAAGCTAGGGTCAGCATGAGCAAACAGGGGCATGTGGGCCACCAGGCCCCTACAGGTGAAGTTAATGATCTCCTGGGCAGAGGGAAAAGGTGAGGTCAGTTAGGTTATCACTCACTGGGAAATTTTCATATTCAGGACAGAGAACCACCCACCACTGAACATAATCAGCTTCAAAGACCCCAACCTCTTAAGAGGAATGAAAGAGATAGGGTCAGTATGGGAAACATTACTCTAAGACTCTACCTTCAGAGAAGCTATCCCCTGAAGATGCCGCCTAACCTTAGAAGTTCCTGTTGCTCAAAGTTCCCAGTCATCCCACACTAGGATCTCCTGTCCCCCCTACATTACTCAGCATCATTCAGTACCCCATCCCCATCTCAAGAGTGTTATCCTCTACCCCACCCTACCTCACGCAGTGGCTCACTCAGCTCCCCCAGGATGCTCTCCTCATCAAACATTTTGCCCTGGTAGCGATGTTCATAGTATTCATGGATGCGCTGACGGGTATCAGCTGGCAGTTTGTGGAAGGACATGTACTGCTCCACCTGCTTATACTGGAAGCACCAGCCCCACCCATACAAAGGCCATCAACACAGGGATATGGACACATTGACAAAGACAAGAACACAAGGACCCAAGGACATAAAGGGATATGAGGACATAGATATGGAGATAGGGGCATGGAGACCCACACAGACATGAAGACAGGTGCATAGAGATAATGATATGGGAATATGTACATAGAGACAGGGTCAGGGACACACAGGGATGGAGAGACAGACATGAGGACATAGAGTGACAGAGACACACAGACACAGCGAAGAATAGAGAAAAGTAGATACAGCAAGGGCACAGACCTAAAGGCACATGTGGGCACGGAGACACAATCATAAGATCACACAGAAACAGAAATATGGAAACAAAAGTCAAAGGGCACAGACAAGAAGGCACGAATACAAAGATATCAACACAGAGGTACACAAGCATTAGAGAATGGAATTAGTGGAAGATGCCATGTGTAAAGTACAAGGGGACCCAGACATAGATATACCCAGATATGAGGAAACATGGAACCCACAGGCAAGGGGTCAGAGACCCCAAACACAAGAAAACAAACATGGAGACAAAGCAAATAGATGGGGAGAAGGGGAGGGGCAAAGATGTAGGGACCCAAAAGGGCACAATTTAGAATGGGCATCCAAGTAGGATGTCCATTCCCCAATGTTCTGCACAAGTTGGGTTCACCTCCACCTCTACCCCTCTCTTTACCCCTGCTGACCTTCTCTTGGTACTGGCGACGGGATGAGTCAAGAGACTGGATGAGGGCAGTGGCATGACCAATGAACATGGCATAGCACGTGGCACCCACAATCATGCTAAGCATGGTGAGCCAGACATCTGGCATGCCCTGAGGTGCTTGTTGCCCATAGCCTATGCATAGCATGTGGCTCATGGCTTTGAAGAGGGCATGAGAATATTGACGGCCCCACGAGTGGTTCTGAGGAAAAAGAGAGTGGGGCTGAGTCACCAAGGGGCCTGGATCTCTTACCCTCTAAATTTTTTCTGCTCTTAGTCGTTGATTCAACAGCCTCTTTGCCTTGCCCCTAACATCACAGACAGAGTTATGGCCCTT